TGGCTATGGTGGCTAAGTGGTCCTCTGGTGCACAGGGAAGGAATGAGAAAATGTTCAGTGTCAAGCACTATGTTGGAAATGCTCGTGAGCATGGCTCCAGGAGCCAGACATCTTGTACTTATGATTCCTCCTCGGCCCCTTATTAACTGTGTGACCTTGGGCAAACAACTTAATTTTGTCTGTCTCAGTTTCCTTATCTGTAAAATGGAGATAATAGTAATAACCTCCTCCCAGTTTTGTTATAAGGGCTGAATAAGTGGATGCATGTAAAGCATTTAGCATAGTGCATGGCACTGAGTACAGACAGTCCCTGACTTAACAATGGTTCAGCTTACAATTTTTTGATTTAGATGGTGTGAAAGCGATATGCATTCAACAGAAACTGTACTTTGAATTCTGATCTTTTCCCAGGCTAGTGATAATGCAGTATGATACTCTTGCGATGCTGGGCAGTGGCAGCAAGCCGTAGTTCCCAGTCAGCTCTGCGATCAAGAGGGTAAATAACTGATACACTTAAAACCATTCTGCATCCATACGACCATTTCATTTTTCATTCTCAGTACACTATTCAATAAATTACATGAGATATTCAACACTTCATTATAAAATAGACTTTGTGTTAGATGATTTTGCCCAAGTGTGGGCTAATGTAAGTGTTCTGAGCACATTTATGGTAGGCTAGGCTGAGCTTTGATGTTTGGTAAGTTAGTTGTATTAAATTCATTTTGACTTAATGATAGTTTCAACTTACGATGGGTTTCTTGGGTCATAACCCCATTGTAAGTCAAGGAAGATCTGTATATGAGCAAAAAATGATATTCTTGTTCTGATTGTTATTTACTACTCAGGAAAAAACAAAATTGTGAAAAAGATATTATTATCCTAATTTAAGAAAAGAAAACTGAGGCTCATACAAATTAAATATCATGTCCTAGTTAAACAGAGCTGGAAAGTGTTAGAACTGAAATTCAAATCCAGACCTGCTGACATCAAGCCCATACTCCTTACACCATAAGAAGCTACTTGAACACCTCAACTGATGGCTGAAACTACTACTTCCAAAGGCAAGAATTTTTTCATGGCATACTTCCGACAGATAATAGTAATAGTCTGATGCTGATTTATAAAGCAACTGTTGAAAGACCATTTGTTGAATCCTTACAAATGCCAGTTGCTACATGTAGCACTTCAGATAACATTGTTGACTGATTTGATCATTATGACAACCCTGCAGGTTAGTTGTTATTCTCCCTATTTATCAGACAAGGAAATTGAGGCTCAGCATGGTTAAATATGTTGCCAAACTTATACAATTAGTATGTGGTGGAACAGGTATTTGAACCCCTGACTTTCCAACTCCATCATTTGTGTACTTAGCCACTTTCTTGAGCCTCCGTTCACTGCTTCTGGTTTTTCTTAAGATGCTAATGAATTAAACACTTAGCTCTCTAGGTCAAGTTAACGTTTTGGTTATTTGGAAAAAGAAATGAAGTCATTATTTCCTAGGTTAAAATCCAAATTCCTTCAACACATCCAGACAGTGGACATGACCTCATTTTGAAGACTTTTCGCCACCGAAGTCACTCCTCTCTGAATATGCAATTGACGTGTTGGTCACTCAAACTGCGATGTGCTGAACTGTACCAGAGAGAGAGAGAGAGGGGACACCAAGCAGAGTCGGAGGCCCACTCCGACTTCCGCCCACAGGCAATAAGTGCTTCTAAATAGGTCCACATAGATGATTCATTGTCATATTAGTACTGTAGCCTCTTTTCTGTTTTAAAAGATAACATTATAAAGGAGGCTTTTTTTAAATTTGTTTTTCAATTATTTCTACCTTTGTGGTTTAAAGATAGCCTGGGGTAAACCAAAAAATTAATATTTGAAATTTTTGTGCTAATTTCTTCACAAGCAATTTTTTGTTCAAACTCAGGTTTCAGACCAAAATGTATAATCTTTTAAAAGAGGGGATACACTTTCCATCCAGATGGGATATTGTTAATCAAAGACTATTTGGGTATATTGGTAGTTATGTGATGGATCAGAAACCTGTTCTCACTCTTACTTGATATCCACCTGTACAGAGAAATGATGCAATAACCAACTAATATGAATCCTACCATTTCAGGTTTAATTTTGAGCTCCCTTTACTTCTTGAGGATAAATAAGCTTAATGTCCACATTTCATGGTTTTTTGCTTCTACAGGGTAAGTGGTTGCTGCCCAGAGTTTCCCTGAGACCATGTGAATTCTCTTAATTAAAAATGTTTCTGTTTTAGATTATGGAAAAAAAAAACCTCTTTAATAGGCATAATAATGTAGTCTTCCTTTTAAAAGTTTTAGCTTCTTTAATTTTAAATCATATGGAGTTGACTCAAGTCTCTAGAAATTGTCACATTATTAACGATGAAGAAATACTTCATAGCTGAAAACAAATGCGGTCATCTTTGGAAACTGGTGAGATGTTTGAAGAAAAAAAAAAAAAAGACACTGGTATGGATCTAGAAATCATTCAGATTCTTTCTCATGGTCCTATTCCAAGATGACCAGAGGGTTGGATGCAGGGAACCAATCTGTTTTGGTTACTTTTTCATGAGAATTTCCACTGATCAGTGAGAAAAATGTGTCCAGTAATATGAGCAATGAAAAACAACATAGTTAGTGGAACTGTTGTTTAGACTCCATGCCTTATCTTGACCAGCTTCAAAATATCATTGCATAAAAAACTCTAAATTACTCATAGAAAATCTCCACAATTTCTAGAACTTGCTTGGGAATTAAGGATTAGTAGCCCAGATTCTGACATTGATCTTTCTGTTTCATGGACATTTAAATTTAAAGTTTGTTTTAGATTTGTTTAAAAAGTATTTTTGTAGCAGAAACTCTAGGCACTTTGGTCATTTCCTAACCTACTGGTGAACTTTTGAGTTACCACCTCCATATCTAGTCCTTCAGATTTTCTCTCCAACAGCACCCAGATATTCCTTTAAGGAATTCAATCGATTTCTAACTTGTACCTTTGACCCAACTCACCCCCATCATCAGAGTGGTTATTTCAGGGAAAACACATGTGACTCAACAAGAGCCAGTGAGAGAATGAATCCTATGGCTTGGGTGGGGACCACAGGCTACTCTAAAGCAAAGAGAGATGAGGTCCTGAGGGAGAGCCAATAGCTTCGGGGAGGCACAATGTGGCCTAAAGCCAAAACCAACACTTCAGGAAAGAAATTGGAAAAATGCTGATATGTGTTAAGGCTTTGGACCAAGCTTGATCCTCAGTTATGTGGATCCATTAAATTTACTTTATTATTTAAATCCCCTTTAATCACATTTTCAACAGCTTGTAGATAACTTTTCTGAGCCTCAGTCTTTTTGGTGGTTGTCCTTCTTTTTAATCAGTAAAGGGATGTTAATATTACCCATCTCATCAGGTATTTGTGATGATTGAATCAGATAACATCCGTAAAGCATGTCGTATGTGCTGAGTATTCAGGAACTATTTAATCCTGCTTCCTTTCTTTTCCTCTCAACTCACAAACTTCTGGGTACTGATGTGTCAGATCACTGAATGCTCCATCGACCCAGGGTGTTTTCAGAGAAGGGAGTGGTGTGGGATAAGGAGTGAAGTCATTACCAAGGCCACAGTTCCCAATGCCTCTCCTTAGACCTGACCCTACCCTACTGTCTTTCCCAGGTAGCATTAGCGGTCAGCCAGGTTGATGTATGTCTGGTAGAAAAACACTGACAGCTCCTCAAGGTAAGTGGTAAAACAAGTAGCTAGACAAACTGGATTTTTCTAAGAAGGACATCACGGAGGGGCAACATTTAAACACCAATGGATATTCTGTCTTTCTGGGATATCAAACTTACTCAAGACAATACATTTCTAATGCAGGTATTTAAAGATGGCTCTTAAAACTTTAGGAAGCTAGTGATTAAAAAGATGCCCAGTCTAAGCTATGCCAAACAACTACACTTAACTGTGAGGTAACTTTTTCATTCATTACACAATTTTGGAACAGGAAGAGATGAGCTCACTCCAATTCTTGTTTGATAAGAGGAGAGACAGAGGCCTAGAGTGGCGAGTAGTGAGGTGACTTGCCCAAGCCCTGCAACCAGCTGAAAGCAGAGCCAGGTCTGCCAATGCCCAGTTAATGCTCTTTAAACGGATTGTGCTCCTCAACCCCCCCGCCTCTGCTTAGCAGACTCCACTTCACTTTCCCTTACAAACCAAGTGTCTGGCAGACACATAAACACCCATCGGGTCTAACAAGCATAGCCAGTTTTCCCAAAGGTGGCACAATTGCCGTCTGTGAGTCAGCATTGAGTCTCACGGACACATTTCCCTGCTGTCGCGCATGGACCAAGCAACTCACGTAGCAGGGCACGTCTGATGTCTCGTACAGGGTTGGTTTCACAACCTCGGCACCACTCACATTTTGGCTGGATAATTCTTTGTTTAAGCAGCAGAGGGTGAAGTAGGGAGAAGCGAGGGTGCATTGTAGGATGTTTAGCAGCATCCTTCTAACCTGCTAGATGCCAGTAGCATCGTTTCAGTTTCAAAAGCTAAAAATGTCTCCAGATATTGTCAAATGTCCCAGGCAAGGGGATGCAAAATCAATCCACTGACAGCCGCTGCTATAGAGATGAGCCTTTTTGCACTGGGCTGTCCTGAAAATATTTTCCCTCTCAGTGCAGTTCTCGATGCAGGGAGGGGAAAGATTGGACATAAGATGTGATGTATGCTTGGGATTTGGAGTACCTCTTTTCAGGCAAATCAAAAAATTGTCAGTTCTACAGAACAGACTCTAATTCTTTACCTAATAGGTATTTAGGGTTGAGAGTGAAGACCAAACCTAAAAGGGTCCGATACCTTGTTACTATCACAAGAATAAGAAATTATACATTAAATAAGAAAAAAAAATAACTGGGAAGATAACTCCTATAATACAAGGGGATAACCAAAGGGAGTCTATGGAAAATAAGGGATTGAAAACTCACACATACTAGGTCCCCTTCCAATTCCTGGGCTTTCCTTTTTCTTGGATGTCCTTACAGAAGGAGCATACAATGTTTTCTCTCCTGACAACGTCTGCCAAACTCCTCAGTGCCATGGGTGCGGAACTCTTAAGGCGGAAGCTGGATGAAATGACAGAAGAGAAAAAGGATAACAGTGAGATGTAGAAATATGGAAAAAAAGAAACATGAGAGGAAGCAGAAGAAAAAAAATAAAAATGAAAAGGGAATAGGTATAAAGAAAAGCTTGCCAGAGAATTCTAGCCCCAGTCCTAAACAAAATGTATTTTTTTAAATTAGACTTTCTCAGCATGGATTCTTTTGGGGGGAACTAATGTAAAATATTTCTCTTTCAGAAAGTCTTGCATCAAAACAGCAATTGTGTTGCTGTCATTTAGAATACTTACCTATGTCAAATTCACATTATTAAATCTGATAGAACAAGAAATAATACCAAATACTGTACCAGTCCTATATAATCAGTCCTTCTGAATATCATAATATGCTGCTGCTATTCCAAGCTGTCCTTGGAGATATAGCTGCAGCCCAGCAATATACAAAAGGTTTCCCTTCAGCCTTTGTAATTGTCTAGGACAACACATTCTTACATTTTTAATCATCTAAAGCTTTTCAGATACACCAGCGTGCGCCTTCAATAGGACAATAAATGAGAACCAAGATTTCTAAGAGCCTTATGTTTCTTTCTTCTTGTGGTTGATAACATGCTGTGTCTGCCTTGTACTGGATACAGATGTGGAGCAGATAGCATAAATAGGGGAAAGTAAGAAGGATATGCATGCGAGGGCCAGATTCATCTGAGAGTGAAAATAATTTCCTCAAACCAGGAAGCCTCTTAAAAAAAAAAAAAAAAGAAAAGAAAAGAAAAAAGAGGGTATCCATTCATTTTAAGTGCTGAGATAAGACAATTTAGAATGATTTTCACCTTGGCACAAAAATCTTCAGCAGAAACAGCACTCTTAGAAGAGAACTGAACAGCAACTCTTAGTAGGGACAGAAAGGAGCAGAGGTACATACAAAAAAATGTAACCCTTCCAACCCCCAAAATTCTCTAGAATTATAAATCGGATTATGAATATGCCCCGCCATTGGGGGAGATACAGCATTAGTGATGTCACATTACTTTAAAAGAAAGCTCTTGGTTCAGCTTTTCTACATAAATAATGAAGTAAATACATTTCCCACAAGTAAAGAAGTATCTCAGTGGTCCCCAAACCTGACTGGCAACTACAATCAGTTTGATCCTTCCCTATACATCCTGACTCAACAGTTCTGGGGTGAGGTATGGAACTCTACTTCTCACAACCTCCTTAGATTATTCTGATGCTTTGTCAGGCTCAGAACCCGCAGGAGAATTCAAGTTAAGGGAAAGTTTTTAAAATACCCTTGTATTTTTTAGCACTATTGAATATATTAAAAATGTCTCAATTTCCAAATATGTCACTAAATTTCATTTATTGCAAGGCCTTATGTGCCACTGACCTTTAGAGGTCATACAGCATTTTGTTGAGCTGATGAAAAATGTTGACCTCTACTCCAGAAAAACACACATGCCTAGAAAGGTAAAAAATTTATACGCAATTTTAGGGTGTCTATAGGTTGCTTAAATCCATCTAGGGAGAAGAACACCTGTTTGAATGCTTGCACTTGTGGTTTGTGAGAGTTAATAGTTCAGTAACTCCCCCTCAAGTTATAGCACTTAATGAGAGCCTGTGTGTTTCTTGAAAGAAAGATGCTACACTTAAGGGAACAGGCTTAAGAAACAATGAGGAAAGCCACAGGCAGTAATGCACATACTACAAGAGCCTCTTAAGTGGTCCCTCTGCCTCCAGTCTTTTCCCCTCCAATCCATTCTCCACAACTCAGCCAGAGGAATAGCTCCAAAGTGAGCTTGACTATAAGCTGCCCAAGTATAAAACACCTCAACGTCATCCTTCTGCCTTAGGGTACCACCCTAGGTTACTTGCTGTAGTAGTGAAGGGTGAGGTACCACCTTCAATTCTTTTCATTGCCTTGCCCTTCAGCATCACTAGATGCTTGCTATTTATTTATTTATAAATGTTTTATTTTTTTAAACATCTTTATTGGAGTATAATTGCTGTACAGTGTTGTGTCAGTTTCTGCTGTATAACAAAGTGAATCAGCTATATGCATACATATATCCACATATCCCCTCCCTCCTGGGTCTCTCTCCCACCCTCCCTATCCCACCCCCCTAGGTGGTCGAAAAGCACCAAGCTGATCTCCCCGTGCCATGCTGCTTCCCACTAGCTATCTATTTTACATTTGGTAGTGCATATACGTCCATGCCACTCTCTCATCTTTATTCCTGTCCTGTCCCTAGGTTTTTCAGAACCTTTTTTTTGTCCTTTAGATTCCATATATATGTGTTAGCATACAGTATTTGTTTTTCTCATTCTGACTTACTTCACTCTGTATGACAGACTGTAGGTCCATCCACCTCACTACGAATAACTCAATTTTGTTTCTTTTTATGGCTGAGTAATATTCCATTGTATATATGTGTCACATCTTTTTTATCCACTCATCTGTTGATGGACACTTAGATTGCTTCCATGTCCTGGTTATTGTAAATAGAGTTGCAATGAACATTGTGGTACACGACTCTTTTTGAATTATGGTTTTCTCAGGGTATATGCCTAGTAGTGGGATTGCTGGGTCATATGGTAGTTCTCTTTTTAGTTTTTTAAGGAACCTCCATACTCTTCTCCATAGTGGCTGTATCAATGTACATTCCCACCAACAGTGCAAGAGGGTTCCCTTTTCTCTACACCCTCTCCAGCATTTATTGTTTGTAGATTTTTTTGATGATGGCCATTCTGACTGGTGTGAGGCGATACATTATTGTAGTTTTGATTTGCATTTCTCTAATGATTAGTGATGTTGAGCGTCCTTTCCTGTGTTTGTTGGCAATCTATATCTTCTTTGAAGAAATATCTATTTAGGTCTTCTTCCCATTTTTGGATTGGGTTGTTTTTTCGATATTGAGCTGCATGAGCTGCTTGTAAATTTCAGAGATTAATCCTTTGTCAGTTGCTTCATTTGCAAATATTTTCTCCCATTCTGAGGGTTGTTTTCTCTCTTGTTTATGGTTTCCTTTGCTGTGCAAAAGCTTTGAAGTTTCATTAGGTCCCATTTGTTTATGTTTATTTCCATTTCTCTAGGAGGTGGGTCAAAAAGGATTTTGCTATGATTTATGTCATAGAATGTTCTGCCTATGCTTTCCTCTAAGAGTTTTATAGTGTCTGACCTTACATTTAGGTCTTTAATCCATTTTGAGTTTATTTTAGTGTATGGCATTAGGAAGTGTTCTAATTTCATTCTTTTACATGTAGCTGTACAGTTTTCCCAGCACCACTTATTGAAAAGCCTGTCTTTACTCCATTGCATATTCTTGCCTCCTTTATCAAAAATAAGGTGACCGTATGTGCATGGGTTTATTTCTGGGCTTTCTATCCTGTTCCATTGATCTATATTTCTGTTTTTGTGCCAGTACCATACTGTCTTGATTACTGTAGCTTTGTAGTATAGTCTGAAGTCAGGGAGCCTGATTCCTCCAGCTCCGTTTTTCTTTCTCAAGATTGGTTTGGCTATTCGTGGTCTTTTGTGTTTCCATACAAATTGTGAAATTTTTTGTTCTAGTTCTGTGAAAAATGCCATTGGTAGTTTGATAGGGATTGCACTGAAACTGTAGATTGCTTTGGGGATTATAGTCACTTTCACAATGTTGCTTCTTCCAATCCAAGAACGTGGTATACCTCTCCATCTGTTTGTATCATCTTTAATTTCTTTCATCAGTGTCTTATAGTTTTCTGCATACAGGTCTTTTGTCTCCTTAGTAGGTTTTTTCCTAGGTATTCTATTATTTTTGTTGCAACGGTAAATGGGAGTGTTTCATTAATTTCTCCTTCAGATTTTTCATCATTAGTGTATAGGAATGCCAGAGATTTCTGTGCATTAATTTTGTATCCTGCTACTTTACCAAATTCATTGATTAGGTCTAGTAGTTTTCTGGTAGAATCTTTAGGAATCTCTAGGTATAGATCATGTCATATGCAAACAGTGACAGCTTTACTTCTTCTTTTCTGATTTGGATTCCTTTTATTTCTTTTTCTTCTCTGATTGCTGTGGCTAAAACTTCCAAAACTATGTTGAATAATAGTGGTGAGAGTTGACAACCTTATCTTGTTCCTGATCTTAGAGGAAATGGTTTCAGTTTTTCACCTTGAGAACGATGTTGGCTGTGGGTTTGTCATATATGGCCTTTATTATGTTGAGGTAAGTTCCCTCTATGCCTACTTTCTGGAGGGTTATCATAAATGGGTGTTGAATTTTGTCAAAAGCTTTTTCTGCATCTACTGAGATGATCATATGGTTTTTCTCCTTCAATTCATTAATATGGTTTATCACATTGATTGATTTGCACATATTGAAGAATCCTTGCATTCCTGGGATAAACCCCACTTGATCATGGTGTATCAACCTTTTAAATGTGCCATTGCATTCTGTTTGCTAGTATTTTGTTGAGGATTTTTGCATCTATGTTCATCAGAGCATCATTAGAGGCTTTTAAAAATACTGATGCATTGGATACCACCCCTCAACCAGTTACTTTAAAATCTCTGAGGGAAAAGATGAGAAAATCAAAGGGGGTGGGGGTTCTAGCATTAAAAAAGAGAAGGGAAGCGGATGAAAGAGGAGGGGAGGAAAGCAACTCCTGAGGAGATTCAGTTGTACAATGAGTCAGGACTGAACTGCTCCCAGTCCAGGACCCACCATGCTACATCTGGCCTCTAGGCTTTCTATGTGTTCTTCCTTCTGCTTACAACAGTTTTCTCTTTGTTTCTTTACTAAGCTAACCCTACCCTTCCTTATTTCTGAAATCAAAATTCGCGGGGCTGGATTTCTTTTCCCTAATATGTGCCGTCAGTGGCTCATCTCTATCTGACTACATCATAAGCAGTTTAAAAGTAGTAGGGAGGTTTGGTGTTTTATTTTGTTTTTATTTGTTTCCAGTTCTAGAACCAGAGCCTAGTACTAAATCTAACACACAATATAGCCACTTATAAGTATTTGATGAATAA